CTGACCTACAAATCTTGTTCTCCACATGTAAGAAAACATGTTTGTTTGGTACAGACCCCCCCCTAAAAATGCAACATCATCATGAGTTTAAAGTGTATATTAAATTTGTGATACAAAAATGATCATTCCCACACTAATTGTGAATCATGTCACATTTGCAATATGGGTCAAAATAACTGCAGTATGATGTTTTTACTGTATAAAGCAGCACTAATATTTATTAACAATCAGCACGGGACAAAGAGAAGTTAGTTGCTGTTAACATTTTCTTTTTTTCTCCCCTCATCAGCACATCGCAGACCTGCTTCAAAGCTCCAAATCCAGGGCTCGAATGGCCGGACGAGCTCGCCTATCCCTGTCCCACACCGTCCTGCTGTCCCTCACTCTGCTCACCGAGCGTGTCAGCTACCGCTCGGTGTCTCGCCGCTTCCACCTGGAGAAAGGAAACATCCACAGGATCTTCTTTTCTTTCTGCGAGCGCATCAACACGCTGGAAGAGACGCTGATCAGATGGCCAGTCGGTGGGAGATCTGTTGGATGATTGTGAGTGATTTGAGTGGGAAAAAAAAGGGGGTTGAAAGTGATAATGTTTGGGGTATTTCCTCTCTGTTCTCCAGGTGCAGAAGCTGTAGATACCCTCGTCCCCCTCGCAGGTTCAGAGAAGGAACAAGAGGAGCAAGTCGTCCCTCAGGTCCTGGGAGTCTTGGGACACATCCGCATCCCTATCCGCCTGCCAATAGGAAAACATGACGTGGAGAGCGCAGTGCCTGAGGTGAAGAGGATGAAGAAGGAGGCCCACCCCGACTCCTGGCTGAACCTTCAGCTCGTGTGCGACCGTAAGGGCCGGTTCCTGCACTGCAGAATCAGTAGAGGATCAGATGTGGACAGAGGCGGCGCTCTGAGGGACAAACTCCGACAGGATCCTGAACTGATGCCCTCCGGCTCCTGCCTCGTGGCCAGAGCCGGATACCCGCTCACGCCTCAGATTTTAACTCCGTACTCAGGAAGTCTCGGACTAAAAGAAGAGCTCTTCAACAAGACACTGGAGGAGCATTTTCACCTCCTGGATCAGGCTGTCTCCAACCTGAGAGCCAGGTTTCAGAGGCTCCGGTATCTGGATATTGGGAACTACGATCGAGCCAGAGCCGTTGTGCTGACTGCCTGCGTGTTGCACAATGTGTTTCTGGACATGGGACAAGCGGTTCAAGGGGAAGTTGAGAAAGATGAAGACGTGAGCCGAGAGGGAGAGGGGGAGGTGGACGACGAGGGTGCACGCAGACGCGACGCCATCTCAGATCTGTTGCTTAAAAACTGTGGTTGTGATAGCGCGTGATGTGACGAGGCCTGTTGGAAAACTTGTGTTTATAGATGTAAATGAGCAGTTCTGTGATATAAAAGGTTTATTTTAACAGTCTGTCTGCATATATAACACACATAATACTCATTGCTGCTATCAGAATACAGGGATAGGTTGCATTGTGGGAGTTTTCCATAGTAAATCTGGAGAATGCTTCGTTATTACTGTGGTTTACTATAATCGGGATGACAAATAGACTTTAGGACTGATTTAAAAAAAGATTTAATTCTCGTTTTTCTGACATGGACGTAGGCTTAATCCCAAAGTTAGACTTTTATTCACAAAAGTTAATCAGAATAATAGATGCCATTATGTTTCAGAGTGGAAGTGCATGCAGGCTCCAGAAAACAATAAAAAAGTCAATGAATAAATAATATTAAATGTGAATATATGCTGTTATGTCTACCTTTACACTGGTATAAACATTACCAGGTTAAACTAATCTAAAAAAGTATTTAAAACAACTTTGTTAATACAATTATTGATAATACTGTTGTCACTTTAGTTGTAATCTATATTATTATTATACTAATATTAAAACTTAACTGCAAATAAAATGTAGTGTTTCAGCTCCTCACTGTGACCACCGGAGGGCAGTAAACTTTTGTAATTCTAATTATACACCGACGGGCTCCAGCTTCAAGGTACTATAACTCTTTACTTTCAGTAAAACTTAAAGATAAAACAGTAAATTGTCCACTAATATTCTGTCCACCACCAAATGTGAACAGGGAGGCGCACAAAACGTTCACAAATGTAGTATTTATTGCAGGATTGTTTATTGGAACAAAAAAAAGTGTATGTTATTAATACATCAGTCAAAGTGTGTCTATGAATACAGTTGATACCTCTTAAGAATAATAATAATAGGTTATAAATATGTTTATTGAAGTTTTAGTCTAACTATGACCTTTCTTGACAAATGATTGTAATCGTGTCATTTCCATCAGCTTGCTTAAAGGGCCAATGCAGAAAATAACACTCTTGTAGAGGTTGTTGACATTTATAGCCTATATTAATCTTATTAATGAGTAAAATTAGGTTTTCTTACTCTACAATGAACCATAATTCTGTCATAAAGTCTGTCTCGGTATAAAAATAATAGTTGATTCAATCTATACATCAAAAGAAAAGGACGACTGAAGAGTCTGTGTCCAATATGTCCCATTTTATGTAACATGAAGTCTCTTTTTATGCAGCTCTACAGAATTCAGACTGGCCAAACCTTTATCCTTTAAAAAAAACGGTAACAGTAAAAATGTGCCAACAAGACCAATCTAAAAACATATATTGCAAACAGTTTTTTCCTGCTGCAGCACCATTTAAGTTTTTGGTAAGAGCAAAAGGACCCTAATGTCCATCCTTTGACATCTGTGTAGTGTTCTTCTGAGCCAGGCTGGAAATGGCCTGTGCCAGGTTGTTAATGGCCTCTATCTTCCTCTCCTCCAGAGCTTTCTGCTGGGCCCACATGTTCATCTTCCTCTCTTGCAGCTCCATGTACAGCTGGAGGACGTCTTGTGGAGGCCGGGCAGAGCAAGGGGCGGCTGTCGTGGGCGGTGTGGGGAGGATGGGGGTAAACCTCTTGCTCGCCATGGCCTTGCCCACTCTCGTCCCGCTGAGCTTCGCCCTTCTCTGGGCTTCGATCTCCTCCCGGCTCTTACCCAGGACCTCGTGCATGGCCTTGAAGAACTCCCAGTGGACGCTGGCCGCCCCGAGCCTCTTGGCCCGCTCGCTGTTCTTCCTGTACGTGGCCAGCATGTTCCTCCACTTGAGGTCACACTCGTACGCCTTCACGGTGACGTCGGTGACCTCTGACTCCCTCAGTTTGGCGTTCACTTTCTCTGCCACCATCTCCCAAAGTTTCTTTTTCTTGCACACCGGCTGGTCGAAAGCCTGATCCATCTCAAGCCGGGTGTTGACAAGGTGCCAGGTGGCCTGCAGGGTCCATATAAACTCTAGAGAGGGAAAAACAAAACCGTTATTAAAACATTATTTTAACTCACGTGACCTCGCACTGAACCTTTAACCTGTTAAGTGTATTAATTTATTTAACATAGCTTGTCCTACATACAACGCACAAACCTTTTGCACTATTTATATTTAATTTCCACTTTTTTCAGTTTTAGTTAAGTTTAAATTCCTGCTCATATTTTGCACTCCATGTCCTACTTGAACAAAAAATAGTGTAAATACTTTAAATTATAGTTTTATATCTTCTAATATTAATAATATTACCAATATTTTTATGTGTGATATTCTTTATTCTGTTTTTTTTTGCACTACTTTGCCCTATTGCTGCTGTGTTCAAACTGAATTTCTCCTAAAAGGGGGATAAATAAAGGAATATCTTACATTAAAACACCAATTCGAGGTGATAAATGAACACACCCACCTATATAAACTCTCATTAATGTACCTGTCCCTGTATGGATCACGGTTTATGGCTATAATAACAGCAATAGGCAGAGACTGCGCACTCATCAAGCCCTCCTCGCTTCATGCGATGACTGGATGAAAAGCTGTTTAACTTCACGTTGCACTAACCTGCTTTGGTTTTATCGGTGTCCGCACTCGACACGACCGTTTCCTTTCCCTCCACTTCGCTGCTTTGTATCACGATCGTCTCGAGTACCTCCATGTTGTCAAACCATATTTTAATTATTATTATTTGTGGGGTATTTATCGGGGAGTTTAACAACCTCTCAGAGGCAGCGATGCGTTTTGTCGCATCGAGTAAAACGATGACTATAACAACGTTACCTAACTGCTCGGGAATTGTAGTCCGTTTCGGTTGCTACTAACGGGCTTTTCCGTTTACTGGCGTACTAACTGAACTACAATCCCTAAACGCTCCGAGGCGCTAACCGCTAGGTACGTTTTTGTCGCTGTCAAGGGGAATGTAGTTCTTTAACGAAGGGAATTCACTGGGGGGGATAGGAACGGCGGCGTCATTTGAACTACAACTCCCAGCAGATATCCAACCGACCCACCTCTTCACTCCCTGCTCCCTCCCTCGACCGCCCCTGTTTTGTTGTTTGGCTAAAGATGGCGTTAGCGGCTAACACAGGCGATTGCATTTTGTTTCACAAAAATTATTCGGCCAGTGGTGAAAAAACACTGATCAAATAGAGGTTTAATTCGTCATTTGATGTGGCAAAATGTGTTACATTGAGCAAATACACGGCCATTACGTAGAATAACGCTGGTTCGGCCTTCTCACGATGTAGGCCTGTTTTTAAGGGAGTGGACCGGAGCTGTTGGGACTCCATCTCCCGTCAGGACGTGCGGCGTCAGGTGGTACAACTTCTCCTATTTCTTGGTATCTGTAGTTTTCTGTAGTTTTCTGTAGACCACGCAAGAATGTTTTTTTTTTTTGCGGAAACTTTAAAAAAACAAAAAAATAAATACGAACGAAGTAATTAAGAGCACCTATTGATAAAGAACTTAACTAAAGTGGGGATTTAAAGTGAAAGGACATGTTTAATTTGTCAGTATTTCACTGGAAGCGCCCAGTGATGCTCCTACAGGCTGGATAATTACTGTCTACACTGAGAGGAGCACAGATTGACATAATTGAAGAGGGACAATGGCAGCCTCACCTGTGCCAGGTGACTGGAAACAATCTCGACCACCCTCCAGAGAAGGACACCCAACATCACCAGAGTCCTCTTTGACCTGGTGCCTTGCTCACCTCTCCAAACCCGGATCAGGGGCTGAACACCACGGGCATGGCAAGGCTGAGTCCGGCAGTGGCAGAGAAATGGACAAGAGGTCCAGAGTGTCTCAGTGGCGAGCCCTGGTCGCGATCCGGACTCAGCACATCAAGGGGGACAAGGCTGGCATTGCCAGGTTCAGAAGTCAAGGTGGTCTCCGGCCCCTGCTGGACCTGCTCAAACACCCAGATTGCTCCAGGAAAACCGTGGACCTGGCTCTGAGCATCCTGGCAAACTGTTGCACCGAGCTGGAGACGCGTATAGAGGTAACGTAAAAGCAGTAAATGAGAAAGTATTGAATGTTTTTATGTGTTTAAAAAAAGAATAAAATGTCAAATGTCTTCCACTGTAGGTCCGTAAGCACGATGGAATAAATATAGTCGGTAAGTGATAGTTTACTTTCTTATTAGGACTTTTTAAAACGTGGGTTTTGCTGTAATCTTTTATCAAATGTTGGTATTTTAACAATTAATGGCCTTTCTCGACCGCCTTAGTGGACATCCTGAAGAGAAATGTGGCCCTGGAGACCGTCCAGAACCGAGCAGCCCGAGCTTTGGGAAACTTGGCCATGGATCCAGAGAGCTCTGCGCTCATCCACTCTGCTGGTAAGTCTGAAATGTCTCGCTCATTTGGTCTGACTGCATCATTTTAAGTTGGCAGTTCTCCGCATTTAAAATGAGCTGCAGCTTAAAAGCTTCTTTTGTTTCGTTTCTAATGTTGATTATAACACTTCCTAACACTCACGCTGAGGTCACATGTGCCTAAAATAGGGAAATCTCTTCTCACGTAACTTTTTGTGGAGATATATTAACACTTTTGTTTGTTTTTTTTACAGGTGGTGTTCCCCTTCTCCTCCTTTGTGTGTCTCTTTCTTCCGCCCCGTCCTCCCCCACAGCCGCTCCACCCAAAGACACCTGTCCTAAACTGGAGTGCGCTCAGTCGGCTGCTCGCGCTCTCCTCTACCTCTCCGATACGCCCTCCAACCGCCTGTCGCTGCTCACCCAAGGCACCTTATCTGCTCTTGCCCCTCTCGTCGCTCCAGAATATCCCCTGGGGCTGAGGCGCGCCGCGCTCAGGACCCTCCACGAGCTGACCCGGGGTTGTGGCGTCGAATGCGCCAGGGAGGTGTCCCGTTCTGGCGTCCTCGCTCAGCTCAGCGCCATGGCGTCGGGGGAGAGTGGTAAACCTTTCGAGGAGCTGGCGCTGAAAACCCTGGCCAACGTGTGCACCCAAGGCTGCCTGCGCCCTCTCGTGGGGTCGCTGGGGGTCATTCCGAAGTTCACAGAGGAGATCAAGAGGGACCCACTAAAGTCTGGAGTCTTCCTCAAGGCTCTGTGCTTGTGCTGCAAGGAGGCGGTCAACCGGGCCAAGGTGAAGGAGAGTGGCGGATTGGAGGTGCTAATTGGCTTTTTGGCTGCACATCACAGCCATCCCCTTTCCAGACTCGCCATCCTGGCCTGTGTAGACTTTGTTTTTGACGAATCTGCTATGGAGCAGTTGCAAGAGCTCGGGCTGGTCCCTCTGCTTGTTGCACGACTGGTCGAGCTCACCAGAGGAGAGGAACAATCTGCGGAGAAGATGGACGTGAGCCTCTCCTCCAGCATGTCTCCCACTGAGCTCCTGCCCTCCTCGTGTTTTGACTCCTTCGACTTTCCTGCTCCCGAGGGCTGCAAGAAGGAGGAAGCCGGTAGGGAGCAAGGTCTATGTTCATCGAGCTTTTTAAGTCTCAGGTATGGAAAATGCATCTGTTTTTTTTCTTGTGAGTTCTTTTATTATCCTCCTGTTTTGTATTCTTTATCTACATGCTTATTGTTTTCTGTTCAGGTCCTGGTTGGTGTCTGAGGGATTGATCTCTTCAGAAGGAGACCTGCTGGATTCCTCTGGTGTTGAAGGGGAATGGGGAAGTCTTCAGATGCCACCGTCTTCATCCCCTCAGACCTCCTCTCCGAATCCGGATTCCCTTTCCTCTCTTAAAAACTCTTCTCCCTCCAGCTCGACGGCCTCTTCCACTTCTAAAAAAGCCGCTCAGCCTCCCGCTGTGTCCTCTTCGGTCCAGTCACCCTCACTGAAAATCATCGATCCGCCTCCCTCTAGCCCTCAACCTTCCAGTGTACTCACACCCCAAACCCAGCCCTCTTCCTCCACTATCTCCTCTCCCACTAAAACCACCCAAACACCAGTCTCTCCATCAAAGTTCTCATCCCCTCACAGAAGGAGGCAGCGTGTTCATTCAGCAGCTTGTTTGACTAAGGTCACTCTTGAAACTCCTCCGTCTTTGCCCCGCCCGATGGCTTACCACCACCCATACCACCCTGAACCTTGGACGCCCGAGTCGCCCATCCTGCTGCTGCTGTCGCGCTTCTCCCACGCCACCGACCCAAGCACTGCTCTGGTCAGCTCAGGCATCATGTCCGGCTTGCTCTACTACCTCACCCAGCACCAGGACCCCAGCAGCAGGTGCCTCCGTATGCTGTGCCGACTCAGCTGCAACCCAAACTGTTTGCAGGCGCTGGTCAGAACCGGCTCGGTCGCGCTGATTCGTCACCATCTGTGCCAGAGTCGGGGAGAATATGAGGCACAGGAGAGGCAGACGGACCGAGTGAAAGCCAAAGTTAAACAACTTGGTAAGATAAAGGTCGCAAAATCAGTGACACAGTAACTAACAGCCATGATTTCACCCATAAATCTGGTAGCTGTTTTAAAATAGCTGTGGTAGCAAAAGTTCACTGATAAATGTTATTTAAATAATTTATTAATCTTGTATTCTTAGTAGTGGAGAGTAATAGATAAAAAAAGTGGTGAATTTCTTAATGAAATTGACAAATAAAGCTTACATATTTAATTGATCAGGGTCACATCTGGCTGATGCTCAATACTTATCCCTTCCTCTAACATGAACAATACTCGAGAACTAACTTTTATATAATTAAACACAAAATTGGGTCATTTTTTTTATTTTTATTTGATTCAAGAGCAGTTTATAACTGTGCACTGTCCCTATAGGCCTGGCTCTTCTCAATAATCTGCGAGTCCAGTGTGAGTCTGGATTTGGCTCTGGGGTTCTGGCCCATGTGATGCTGTCAGGGTCTGAGTCTGACAAGATGAACTGTGCGCTGTCTCTGCCATTGATCAGCAGGTGAGTAGTGCATCTATATGAATATGAGCTCAGTAATCAAGATAATCTGAAATGTAATGACTTTAAATGCCATAAAAGCTCTTTTCTGTCTTGTTGTTTAGTGGAGGTGATCTAAAAAAACTGTATTTGTTGATGTTTTCTCCAACAGCAACAAGTCTCTGTTGAAGAAGCTTCTTCTGGACAACGGTGGACTACTCCTGGCTCTGCAGCCCCTCGGTTGCGATGACGATGACGTGGATGAAGACAACCCCACCGAATGTAGAAAGTTGCTGTCTGACTGGTTTAATTCACCGCATGTAGGCCTGACTTCTCAGCTCCACTCGCTGTACTTCTCCCTCCTGACTGGATGCCTGTCCACCCTGATGGGTGGCCTCAAAATGGAGCTACACAAAAAACATCTCAGTCTAAATACCACACAGTCAGTCAGCAAACCTGACAGCGTTTCACCTCCTCCTTCGAAGAAGCCTCGCATGACTGACATCTGTCCTTATGGAGTCTCGAACTTTGACCTCCTCTTGCTGCTGGACGACGGGACTCAGATTTCAGCCAACAGGGAGGCTGTGGCCGGGGCGGAGGGGACAGATGGGGCCAGCTCTGAATACTTTTGGGCTCTGTTGAAAGGCGGATTTGGAGAAGCTCAGGGTAATGCAGAAGAAGCCATCCGCATTAAAGATGTCAGCACAGGTATGCTGCTACCAGTTCTTCACTACCTGCATGGATGTCGCCTCACCAAGGTTACAGAAAAGACAAGAGAAGGTGATGAAGGAAGTAGGAGAGGACAGTGTCAGATTTTGGACACACTGGTCCGTGAAGGACTGGGCATCTGCCAAACACAGACAAAGGATCACTCGGAGGGAAACTTGGCTTTCCAGAAAACAACTTTAGGCGAAGTGATGATTGGAGCGTGCAGATTCCTGGTGACTGAGCTGCAGAGAGAGTTGGAGGATCTATGTGTGTCTCTTCTCCTGTCCTGCTCCACAAAGGCCGCTCGTCGAGCTGCATCAGCTCCCACAGAGGACAACGCCGAAAAGGCCGCATCTAAGATGGACCAAGAAGGCCTCGGGTTTGCAGAGGACAACCTGGCCAATCGAACGTCTGAGCTAGAATTGACTGGTTGTGAAGCGCAAACGGAGCATTTACCAGGACAGACGAGGAAACCGAACGGTTCCCCACACCAGACAGACTGTAATAAAACCTCCTCTGCTGGAACAGGTCTGAAGGCCAGCAGGGGGCTCGGTACAACAACAGACCACAAGTGTGTCAAGAGTGTCACTCCAGTTTCCAAATCAAGCTGTGCGTCAGTGCGGGACAAATCATTGGATCCACAAGAGTTGAAGCTCAGACCAAAGAACTTGATGAAAAGTTCAGCACAGCTTCTGAAACCAGCAGCTCGGGACTCCGTTTCTTCCTCAGAAGCCAATTCAGGAGGTGGGGCCCTGGCTGCTCTCCTCCCCCAGGTGTACTGGTTTTCCCAGAGGTACAGCTACCCAGCACTGGGTCGCACCTGCCTGTCTTTGCTGCTGGGCTGTCAGGACTGCCCTCGGCCCTTCTCGTCCTCCTCCCTCGTCGGGGATTGCTTTCGCCGACTTGCCAGAGAGGCCGACTGTACAGAGACTCTGAAACAGGATCTGCTAAGTCTGGCCACAGAAGCTCTGAGCTGAGCAAGGAGGGAACTATTGAGTGACGTTGGCATGAATATAGAAGGCACATCTTAAGTTGCCATCGTATTAATTTTATGTTCAGGTTACGACAGCCACACTATTATCTAAAAAAAACATGCTGTATGAATTTCTTCAGCACTAACAGGACCGACTGTTGATCTATTTTCGTAAACTGGAAGCAGAAATTTCTATTTAGTTTTGATGTAATCTGATATAAACTGTAGCCCGTCCCAGCATGACATAATTGTATCATAATTTACTGTTGTTGGATTCATTTCTAATGACATTTGTATTGTGGATTTTTTTTTTTCTCCCTCTTTTTTTTTTTTTAATGTGGTAAACAAATAAGCAAATGTCTGCAATGCATTTCATGAATGTCATTTAGCTGGAAGTACTGGAATTATCAGGGTTGGTTTAGGAGCCAGTTGTTTATTTGTACATAGAGATAATATTGATTAGCAGATATACAGTGTATAGATTCCAACTGTCCCATATTAATTTATGCCACTGAATATATTGTTGGAATATCACTTTTGCTTTTGTTTTTCTCTTGTTGGAGTGTGGATATAGAAAATGGCCACAATTTTTTCTTCTGAAAGACCAAAACCAACAATGTTTTGGTCCATCTCAATACTTTCCAACTTCGCAATCTTGTTTCAAGCCCATTGATTCCTTAAAATAGGTCATGAATATATAATTAGATTTAAGAAAAAGGCTAAATATTACAGCTGGGCACTGTAGTTTTTAGCAAACATTATTCAAACAGGAATAAATAGTGCATTTGTTGGGGATTATTTTCAGCAGTGGATTAATACACGTTTGGTGCTCTAGTGAGTATGTGGGCCAGCAGGATGGATAAAATAAACAGTGAGTATGTTCATGGAAACGAAGGAACTGTGGCGTCACGGACGGTACTTGGTAGTAGATCAATTCACTGTTGGTTTTGGTCTTTTCATGAAATTGTTTGGCAGCAAGAAAAATACAGAATATATTACCAGCCTGCTTTTAATCTTTAAAGGCTCGTATTTAGGCCGGATTTAAACCAGCCTGTCTTTGGCGGCCCCTAGTGGTAGTGTATAGACACCATAAGAGAGAGCAGCCCATTCTGCTGTGACACTTAAAATAGAACATTTTTTTTTCTATACGTCTTGAGGGTTGATTAAATTGAGCACTACTCTGAATTAAACAAAAGACATGGCACTCATTGTAATACAGCACAAAGTGGTTTTATTCCTGTGTGGGTGCATCGCTCGATGGCGGTGCGGCGTGGCCCCTCGGTCAGTATAATTAAGCCAAGTACGCTGCTGATTGGAAGCAGTGCAGAGAAATGTGACCGATCCTCTTAGTGATGGGAGCTCTCGAAGCCATCGGGCAGAGGATTTGTGTGAGCGTTGTGGAACAAACTGTGGTTTCCATCGCCCCAGGGAAATTTCTGGAAGGAGACATCGACGCACAAGTTAACTGTTATATTCATGGCAGAGCATTTATTCAGTGGTGGAGGAAGTGGTGTTTTGTAAATCCTGCTGAAAGAGTACATGGGTACAGGCGTTTGAGACTCACCTTGGTGCGGATACGCAGGTGAGGATATGGCACAAATTCTGGCTGCTCATGTGAGTGCGCCTGCATCTTCATGTAGGCGTTGGCCATGCAGACAGCAACACCAGGAATGGCCAACACAATGGTCAGTATCTTCCAGGTCCTCGCTGTGGGAAAACACAACCAGTGAAAGTACATGACCGAAGCACTAAGTAGCACATGCGGAAAATGGAAAAATGAGTTATAGCAGCTGTGTATACAGAGTCCATATCAATAATAAAACATAATTCGTGATGATTTGCCAAAGAGCATGAATGTGCAGGACCGCTGCCAGCTTTGCAGACATTTCAGTTAATGTTCAACTAAAAAGGCTCTGACTGTATGTGACTCGGGTGCAGTTGCATGCAGAAGTTCTGAATCTGGAGGCTTTTGATGCTTTTTGGTTGTGTTTGGTTGAGAGTTTATGTAAAGACACACTGACCTCCTCCCTCATGGCTCGAGTGTGACGCAGCAGCAAACACTCGACGAGCGGCCAAGGCGGCTGGAGACAGAGACATCTGTAGAGGTGAAAGGAAAAACATTGACAAACATTTGCAGTATATTATTTATATATATATATATATATATTAATCCTTATTTTAATGCAGCAGGAAAAAAGATGAAGAAAATAGCGTGACCCAAGTTTATTTTATTTTTTTCAGTGTCAATAAGCCTTTATAAGCTTTTCACTGAGCCAAAACACACAACAGACCACTGTTGAAATAATAACTAAAGACAACTAAAGAGAACCTCTGCACAGCCCTTTTAAATATGACATATTTCTCATAAATAAAATCATTTTCAGAAGAAATCTGTCCTATGACCCTCTACAAACAAACAATATCATAAAGCAGCAGGCAGTTGAGGCTGGGCCTACTAGTGTTGCTGCATATCAGAAGTGGTAGTTAACTCTTCTGTAACTTAAATACAAGAAAATCAGGTAAAAACTTACTGTTCTTCAGGCAGGCAATATGCAGTATGCTTTAATATTTTGATATTTTTCTGGAAAACACGTTGCTTTTTGAAATTCCTCCTTCCTGCTTGTTTGTCCTTCAGTCTGTCCTAAACTGAACTCAGTGTGTCAGACTCCTCCCCATTTCAGTCTGTCGCTGTGCCAAGAAAGTTTATATTTGGGCAAGTGCAAAGGCGGGCCGTTATTCGATGAAGAAGAAGGGTATGGGGGGGAAGGGGGTGGTTGCTGTTAAGGACATTCAGCCTGAAATAATAGCAGACGGCTGATTAATCTCACACATTAATGGAAAGGGCATAAAGTTTTTGACACAACCTGTGTGTTTGCTTTCATTTTTGGTTTCAGTTAGAGAGCAGCGGAGAAAGTCAGTGAGTCCTTGCAGTCGTTCACTGAAAGCACCTGTTGCTCAGCTTATTGGCTTTTTAGAAAAATTTATTAATCACCTGTTATTTTAAATCCTTTTTGGTATGTCTTGCGTCAAGATTAGATGAACACTGATATCATATATTGAAATAAGGTAAGTCCTGTTGGATTTACTATGAAAACATTACTTCAATAAAAGTTTTTGATTGTAAGTAAGTCTTATCTAGGCTCTCTTGGCTCTTTGGCTGTTACATGTAACAACATCTGACACATAACATCAAATAACTTATCTTGCTATAGTTAGAAAATCTCTTGGTATATGTTGTTTTAACAGGAAAACTTACACTGCTGTCCCAGGCTATAATGACTTATTAAGGGTTATTTGCACATGTTTAGACTTACAAGTGAAAAAACAACACAAATCTTAAATAAAAATGTATATAAGTGTTTCATTTAAGTGGGCTGTCAGTTGGCAGTTCAGTGGAAAGAGGAAAAGCTTGGAAGTATGTGTATAAGACATGAAATCATACAAATTGCACAAGGCTGAGGTACTGTTTGGTTCACAAGTCTCATAATAACTGAGTCTTGATTCTTTTGTAATCAGAATTCAGAATTGTGACCTTATGTGAAAAAATAACACATAGAAGAGACTATTTTAATGATGTATAGTTAAAAACCTTTAACCTTATAGATAGACTATCCACCAGGGGGAAGTGTTGCCATGAGCACGCTGTCTTTAAACATCCTGTAGACTCCTAATCGTTGGTCATTTGAGTTGTACAGGCTCACTTCTGCTTCTTTCCTCTTGGTTAGAGTTCACTAGTTTGGATTGCTGAGGTGACTCTGCAGTGGTGTAGTGCAGGGGTCTATGCAGGTATACAGTGTTCCCACTTAGAAATCCTCTCTGATGCACATCTTTCAGTAGTGTGCAAGGGCATAACATAGCTGTCTAATTTTCAGGAGTGAGTGGAGTAAATAAAGAAAATATTTCACTCAAAATGCATAATTATGTAGTTGTCTCACCCTGATATCTGGCCCAGTATTGATTGTGAAATCTGCACTGTCATCATATATTTCATAATGATCCTTACTTCCTGAAGTGAGGCAGCAGGAGTTAAGTGACTATGTGCATTTTTGTGTGAACTGAATACCCAAGAGTAGTCTTATTTGTCACCGTTTATAACACAGGCGGGTTAAACTAAAAATATAGGATATATATAAAAATATTTAAGGTTTATTTACTTCTTCAGCCACCACTGTGGCTCTGTATAACCTTTAGAGTAACAGTTGTGTTATACATTTGGATTTCCCACACAGTATGTGTATTAATTAGTATTAAAGTAGATTTTTTTTGTCCATTTTACAACTTACTAAATGCAGCATTTATGGTTTGTAAAAAAAAGTGTATGTTTCCTGCTTTTTTCATACTATTATAAAATATCTGACCGTCTGTGCGGTTTGAATTCAGTATTTTTGTAGAATATTCTCCCTTCTGTTGAGTGTTAATTCTTGATTTTTACACTATTAGTAATGCCTCTGTCGTCTCGGTCTGGGCAGCATCGGGCTGCAGTGCAAACAGCAGCCAGAGCCAGCAGTGATGTCAGCCCGTCATGCAGTCTGAACGTCTAGCCCTTGTGTTACTGTTGGCAGAGGTTAAACTCCATCTCAGTTTGAAGACTCAGTGTACAGACATGTACTGGCAGATTTGCATGTGCTGCAGGTGTGCTGCTGGAATCGGAGAAGCCAAAATCTCCAGTTTCACATGTATTTGTAAGAAGTAGTCAGAAATTAGATGTAGAAATAGGAACCTAAGTCTATGCAGTCAGTCCACCGCTTTGATCCAAGATTTCTTTTTATAAAGAAATGAGAGCAAGTGCTTTCAAGGGTTGTTGAGATGTTATCAGAAAAGGTCGATTGGATATTGACTTTCATTTGGCAGATGCTTTTGTCCAAAGCAACTTGGGATAACTGCATTCACACCACGTAGGAGCAAGAGTTAGATATCAGCCACAATCAGAAGCCTTCAAACTAATAACATGAAGCATGGTCCGTGCTACAGTGCTTCATGATTTTCTTTAGAGAAATAAGTAAATGCTAGGACGGGTTGTTGAAATGTAATCTGAACAGTTGAATTGGCACTGCTCTTGATCATATAAAATGTTAGCATGCTAACACGGTACACTAAGATGGTGAACATGGTAAACATCATATCTGCTAAACATCAGCATGTTACACTTATTACCATGTTAACATTTGATGTTAGAATTAAGCTTAAAGGTCCACTGTGCAGTCTCACAAAGCTGCTAGTAATAGTTTTTTAATGCTTTATTTAATTATGATCATTTTAATTTTGTTGTTTGACCATTCACTAATAGTTTTAAATACAGTTCACTTTATTTTACCCCTCAAAACACTCATGTTAGCTGAAGGCCTCTCCAGTATTGAGCACAGCCGTTTTTTTTGTTGCCTCATACAGAAGGAGCCGATTCAACAGGCCGTCTACCTGAACCTGATGAAGTACAGCGTTTCCATCGATGGGCGTGGAGTTTATAAACGCACAGCGGCCGGAGGAAACGCTGTAGACTCAACACAGCAAAGTGCACGGGACAGACACAGACAGAGTGATGTGTAAATAGTAAAATGGGTAAACTATGACTGCCAACATCATAAAACAAACACAAATTTAATTTCTATATATTTGTTTCTGTACCACAGACTGACTGTATTGTCTTATGCTTCTACTTATACAAATTAAGTAATCTTAAAGTGTGTTTTTCGAATGAAATGGTGTGTAAACTGAGCTCAGGTGGGTTTACCCTCCACAACATCCCCTAACACCCTCACCCCCCCCTGTCTGTGTACACTTCATGCCAAGAGAAAGACAACTGTGGATTGTGTGCAATGCAGTAAGTGTGTGTGATGTTGGACAGAGGTGAAAGCAGCCTGTCTGTCCCATCTTTACCTTGTAAATCTGTGTGGCTCCATCTTTTCTGGGCACTCGGCTACCATATTCCTGCGTTCACTTCAGAGCCCCCCACATCAAAGGCCTTTATTGAAGTTGTTTTTGGATGACGGAGAACTTTTTTTATTCTCTTTATGCGGCGCATTTCAGGATGTTTTCGTTTTGGAAATACAAACCAGGCAGAAAAACATTACAAAAATATTTCTTAATGCTGAACTATGCCTTGAACTTTCACTTCCATGACTGAACTGATTTTAAACTGTGGCTTTAAATGATTAGATGCTGTCATCTAATGCATGCTACTGCAATTATGATGTCTCTAGTTGTGACTGATTGCTTGTAGAGTAAACACGCAAACCACAAGGAGTCAGAATCCACCATGAACACTTTCCTGGTCGGAGAAAGCAGTTGATTTAAGGGCCAATGTTACTCTACAGTGGAAACTTCCATACACTGTCCATCACATCAGCAGGTCCCGTGCAGACAGAGCGGGTAGAAAGAGACTTCAGTGTCTTTTGTCTGCAGTGTGGATGTTTACTTACAGTCTGACACAGCAAGTAAGCCGCACACTTATATACTTATATGACTATCTCAGGGTATTTTTGGAATTAATCATGCCAGTGAAAATGCACAGAGGTGGGACCAAGTCTCAAGTCTGGTTTTCATTCACACAGATGAGATGGAAACGCACCTGTTAAATTCACATGGCTACTAACACTCCCAGTCTTGTGCACAGCCATGCCATTAAACTTCCTTGTCTTCCAAAAAAAGTGTTACAAACACATAACAAAGCCATTTAACATCAGCTCCAAACTCCCTCTGGCCTAACTGCTCAGCCAGATGCAGATTCAGCTGCATGAAGAGTGTGCCAGCACCATTGCTCTGTAGGTCTTTGTGTTCTTCCCCTAATGTGTACACGCACCATGGAGCCAAACGCTAATATTAAGCCCCCTGGAGGTGGCCCACAGTGTCTTGCAAGCTGGAAGAAGGCAAGCATAAAACCACTAATAAACACAACTGTTCCAGTCTGAGCCTAAGAAAGAAAAACTTGCCAGAAAAATTCTAGATCCTAGTTGTTTTGGAGTTCTTTTCTCAAGAGTGAAAGTGTAGATGTTTATTTTACCAGAGAAAAGCTGTTCATTCAACAATATGAAGACGTCCAACCTCCTTTTTGTGGCACATTTGGGTTTATTTTTTAAGTGAGAAGGAAACAATAAACTATACTGCAACAGCAACTGAGGCAAGCCAGGCGGAGAAGGTGAGACTAGGTGAAGCTAGCTTTAAGTTATTTGGATAAATGCACGTTTGCGGCTTTCTTCAACAGATCAGGAGCTCGATCAGAGACTTAGTGATGCTTTACATAATGGATGCTTAGGTAAAACATGTATTATGTAAAAAAAGAGAATATGGTTGCCGCAATAAAACATTACATTCAGGCTAATAAAATTAAGGCAAATACATGCATAGGAACATGACATAAATGTAGGTAAGGCACCGGGATTAATCAAGCCAGGGTAACTGCACAGAATAAATCTCCACGGTAACTTATGTGCCACCGCTTTCATAAAACCAAGTCATTACTAAATTCAGCCAAATCCCAGCTAAATGTGCTGTGTAGGTTTTATGAAATATCCCTCAGGTGAGCTGTATAATAAATCAGACTTTAGCTGATGGACACACTGGGTATTTTATAGGAAGCTGGTGTCATATATACTGTAAATCTTACAGAACAGCAGCACCTCAGTGTAGCAAATGATGTAGCAAAAAAAAGCAGAAACAAAAATCAGCTTGGCTCCATGCTAACATTGTGTGCAAATTACCATTTAGTTGCTTTAGAAGCTGAATGGAAAGTAACCCGAAATGTTTGCAGATCAGCAAGTTCCATTCGGCTCACCTTCCTTGACGTCTGAAAGCATGATCCAGTGCTTTGCATAAACCAATGTACCTTAATTGGTTTATGCAAATCTATATTTGCAGATGTGTGTAAAATATTTGAAAAGAGTAGGCCTGTACTGCCCTAACAAGACTGACCAACTACGCTAACAGTGAAACTGAGCAAAATGGCCTCAAAGTTCTTTGACTGGCCAGCAAAATGTATTTTATGTAGAACCCTTTAACTATTAAAAGTGATTTTGGTTATAGTTATTAATTTTATTATTAATCCAATTTCTTAAATAATATTTGAGGGTAGTTTATGAGACTGATCAATCAATTATTGGCTATCGTTTCCCTTGTTTAAGGGTGGTGCCCTAAAGAACTTTAAATAGTAAATGGACCTGTACTTGTATAGCACGTATCTATATCTGCTCTGCCTCTGAGCCACAGTTTGCTAACATCTAAGTAACTTTAGACTGACTGAAGTTATTTTTTGTATTTATACTCACATAATGTGTCATCCTCCATAAATCCTTATGTGGAATCAGGAAATACTATTTATTTTGCTTTTTTTTTTTTAAAGGGTCAAAGAATGTGTCCAAAGCACACATAGGGGGCACCTGGATTTGAACCGGGGACCTCTTGATCTGCAGTCAAATGCTCTACCACTGAGCTATACCCCCTGACAATGTTGAAAATGGTGCCGCTGTAATTTCTCATAGCACCTACACAGTCATGTGCTCATTAAACATGAATTCTCTGAGTAATTTTCAGGGCTTAAAAATCATGACCAATTTTTTGTCCTATGACCCCAAATGAGTTCAGTAACTACAGTTCTAAATCTAATTTGATGTCTTATTAACTTAAATCTGTACTTCTTGTTGTTGGATGTGTAAAAAGTTTAAATAGATGAGTAATTAAGAATTTAAGTATTATTTTGTGAGGTTTAACCTATGACACATTTATTTTAATTAGCTTAGTGATATCTTGTCCTGTCTAACTAGTTACCACTAGCACAGTAATACCTTCACCTGACTACTTCCCAGTGGAGAACATGACGATTCCCTTCGTTTAAGTTCCTACGTTGCCCTGAAATTGTCTAGAAAACAGGATTAACAGACATTGAAGCCGCAATTAACGGCAGCTGAAGCTCTGAGAAACCGAGAGAGAGCGAAGTAACTGCACTTTGCCTTTGATTGGATTTTGTAGTTACTGCAATTTTTAAAATAGTTAAGACTGAATTTAGAAAATTAAAGATTACACCTAAACATTAATGTAGAGCAACGGTAGTGCAGTGGTTAGCACTGATGCCACACAGCAAATAGGTGGTTTCCCACTTGGGGGCTGGCTGGGGTTTGTGGTTGCACAATGGCATGTTCTGCACGTAGGTTCCCTCCGCTAAATCATTTTTTAAGACTGAACTTCCCCAACGCAGGATTGGCTCCAGCCCCCACGACCCTGCCAAGGATAACAAAATGGGTGAATATTAGGGTGGATAGCACAAAGCTGCCACTGTGGTATGAGCAGGTATACAGGAATTAAGTGGTCTGCTTTATAAGTTATTTGTTATGTTTGGTGACTGGTGAACATAATCCTGAGTCTATCTTTAATCCTCTAGCAACCTGCCCCTGTTTACAGCAGTTATCAATGCCTGCCACTAGGTTGGATTCGGTCGGATTCCCCTTGAAATCAATGAAACGAGGCGGTGGAAGCACAACCAAATACAGTTCCTTGTAGGGGCTTTAAAGGACACATAAGGACAGACTGTAATATTGGGGGCACACAGTGTTTCTAATATGACAGACCACAGTGAAACTACCATCCAGATGTGTCTCCACAGACACTCCCTTCTCTGGGTAAACGAGCCAACACAGTCTACCTCTGCCTCACCCCCCAGGCAACAATCAGCTCCTCTTTTCAAAGCTTCGACATCCCGTCTTGAGAAATCAACACTCTCCTTATGGATCTGGTTGTTGTTGTTGTTTTTTTTTGATAGGGATCCCTCAAAACATGCAGACAGATAAATGTTTGGAGGTGAATCACGGGTGAAGGAGTCATGACTCAGACGTGGGTTATGTTATTGTCTTACGCTCGGTACCACCAGGGAAGACGATGTGGTGGTCTGCACATGTGACTTTTCCTCAGGTGGCATAAAAAAAAACAACGGGCTTCTTTCAAAGCAGAACCGTCATATGTGGTTCTCCAGGCAGACGTTTGCATTGAGCACTGCCGTGCCTGAGGTCATAAACTTAAACATTACATTAAGAAATGGCTGTTATTAATGGGGACCTCCCACACTATAGGATATGAGGATGATCCTAAAGCTTGGTGTTGATACCACCACGGGCTAATGCTTCTTGTACACAGTCTCAACAGCAACGACAGCTGACAACCTGTTTTAAGTTTGAGATCACAATGCTCTTCTGTAGAAAGCCTTGGAAACTCCTTGAAAAGTACGGTTTAATTGAGGTGGCAGCCTGGAGGGCTATTTCTACAGCAGTATAGCGTGTGTATTTACTCATTAAACATTAATTGTTGTATGTTTTTCACTAAATTATACAGCCCCCCACCTCCCCTCCGACACACACAAAAAGGAAATAATGTTTACTTTGCAATTTCCAGTGTACTTTTTTCAACAGGATATTTACGCTACTTAAACAGATTCTGTTTGCTTGCTCTCATTATTTCCCCCGTCTTGTTTTAGAAGGTGTAATGTTTGCTCTATTAACAAAAACCCAAGACAAATAGGTCTGTTCTCAGTCTTTGACACAGCGTTTTGTTTGTGAGTTCAACCCATCTGTCAAAACCAAATTTTTTCCTACAAAATAATCATAATAAAACATTTTTCTGTCTTCATATTAATATGCACAAATGTATTTATTTATGGGGTGAGGACATGTCTGTTTGTATGATATGTCTGAGTGTGTTCGTGTTATATTATTATTATTATTATTATTATTATGTGCAGTAATAATCATCAACAATCAAGTGTTATCCTTTACTTTTCCTGAGAATTGCCTCAACATTACCTCATTACATTTCACCACACATATTACTTGTTTTGGGAGCGCCCTGTTAGCTCATCTGGTAAAGCTTGTGCTCCACAAGTCATTACTGCAGCGGCCTGGGTTCGATTCCAATCTGTGGCCCTTTTCTGCGTGTCATCCCCCTCCCCCTTCTCTCTCTCTACTTTCATGTCTCTCTTCAGCTGCACCCATCTAGTAAAAGCTACAAAATCCCCCCAAAAATAATCTTGAGCATTACTTGTGACAACCCTTGACCCCTTTGTGTGTCCCTCTGTTAACAGTGGCACAAAAGTCAGACAGACACACTGGGTGTTTGGTCTTCAGCACCGTCTTCACAGAGAAGAATTTCCTTTTTGGCTGTTGGTCTTCTGAAGGGATTTTTGAACCCTGTTGCTTTGATGTTTTCCTTTTTTGTCCTCTATTTCCTTCCCTTCACTTGTTAATATGGCAACAGCTTTGACTAAAACAGTCAGAGATAGATGTGTAGCACTTTTCTGACTTTCAGAAAATTGCGAACCATTAGCTCAAATGCAATCTAACCTTTTTTTTCTTTCCTTGATGGCACAGAGATTCTAAAGAGAGGGTGTGAATTTTCAGATGCTGGAGAAAATACAAAATCCAGTGTGTGTGTGTGTGTG